GGCTCCAGGTCAATTCCACATGGTTTTTTTATTTTCATTAGTAGTTACATTCATATTACTGCCATGCTCTTTGGTAGCACAAGAAATCCCAATTTCTTCCACCTCTCCACATCCCAACTTTTCTTTGGCCTTCTTGTTTTGAGCTTCTAATCTTTGCTGAGTCCTGTTGTTTCCTGCAACCTGCACTGCTGGGATGTTTACTTCCTGGATTGAATTCTAGTGTAGCTGCTACACTAATCCTTAAATAAATCTTTTTCGGTTTAACTCTCTTCCCTTAACCCTATCGGCCAATGTTTACACTAATTTAAATGGGCAGGATATTAGATTAACATTAATTGATGGAGTCAACATACTAATCCAGTTTCTACAGGTTTGCACCTTTGAAGAACATATTAAGCACAGCCACATAAATTACCCTTTCTCATGGACACAGTAGGAGAGAATATGTTTAGAAAGAGGCCCGCTATTAAGTTTTGGAAACCAAAGATGCTTGTATTGTGTGCTTCTCAAATCTGGTGAAATATAAGCCAGCTCACATTGTTAAGCTGCATTCAGTTTCCCTCGCACACTCTGTGGCCTTGAATTCCAGAAGGTCATTTGAAATGAGCTGAAGCAACCTTTTACACTAACAAATGGCATATTTCAGAAACTCAGCGCCATATTATTTGGTATCTGGGGGTGTCTGGGAGACAATGATAAGAATCTTAAGCGATGCACTGGTGTGCTTTCCATCTAAATAAAGGAAAAGGATCTAAACTACAAGCCACGAAGTAACTTTTTTTAAAACAAAAAAAATTCCTTCCAGTAGCACCTTAAAGACCAACTAAGTTAGTTCTTGGTATGAGCTTTCGTGTGCATGCACACAACTTTTTTTAGTGACTCATACTATTGTGGTGACTGCAAACAAGGGTTGTAAGAGTGCATTTGCATTTTTTTTAAAAAAATAGCATGATAGGAGACGACCATTTGTCCTGCTTTGCAGAAGACAATCTTCTGTTTGAAGGGTTGTCCAATGACAGTCCTCTGTTTGAAGGACTATCCAGTTCAAGTCTGGATAAAAGATGAAGAACCAAAAGAAGAGAGATCAGGGTCCTTGAAGTTGTCCCTCAACTGCTTGCACAGGTCTTCTTCCTTGCAGTCTTCTTCTTCTACCTACCAATCCTACACATAGACAAATGCAAGTTTGCAGCTCTGTATACTAACTGTGAACTCATTTATCACAACTGCAGAGTGGGTATTATGTGGCACCTGTAACAAGCGCCAGTTCATCATATTGAAATAGTCTAGAGAGGGCATAAGGAGTAAGGCAACCCTACAAGTAAACTAGTCCCAAACTGTTAAGGGCTTTATATACCAACAGTAACACCTGGAACCTGGCCAGGTAGCAAGTGCAGATCACTGAGCCGAGTTGTGCCAGGGTCTCACACTTGGCAGCAACCATGCTGCAGCCTTCTGCACTAACTGCAGTTTCTGGGACAAGTGCAAGGGATGGAGTGCATTGCAGTAATCCAATCTTGAAGTCGCCAGGGCCTGTATATATGAGGCTGCATTCAGTTAACCCTGATTTCCTTACAAGGCAGGATCTGCAGCACAGCTGAACCAATTGTATATCGGTGTAATAAAGTTAACAGCTTACTATTAATTCAGTTACAGTCCTAAATGGTGCTCTGTTGTTAAATCCAAGGCAACCCAGGGCCCAGGTTACAGTCGTTCCCCTACAGGGTAGGTGTTTATGGGAACGGTAGCACCAGAAGTTTTCCTGGAGCCCGCAAACCTAATTTAGCTGCGGCGATGTGAAATTACTGACTCAACACTCCTGTAGCAACGCATGTTGCAAGAAATCGCAGGAAGACAGATGGAATGCTTAGCAGTTTAACCACAAAGGAATGCTTGGATCTGATTACCCTTAACTGTTAATCTGATGATCATCAGTTGTGGCGTACAATAAGAGTCAAACTGCCTTGTGACTGTACTGGTGAATAATACTATAATGTTACTAGGAGAATTCTCGTGTACTTTTGCCTTAACTCAAAAGCTCCCAAATTTTAATTAAGGATGACTTTACTAGGGGAATTTGGGCTTCGTTTGCACTCAGCTTGCCAATCCATTGGCATTCTACTGCAAAACGATGTTCTTTCAGGGCCAAACTGCACATGAAGTTAATCACATCCCGCCGTTAAGCACAGGGTGGTTTTTTAAAAATAATATTTTATTTTTCCCCCTATGGAAAGTTACATTTGTTACTCAACAATTATATTCCAATTAAACAAAACTAGTGAATTCCCACTCACCCAACATCAATGTTTATAACCCAAATGACATACAATTGCATTTTAAGGTTCTGTCTTATCTAATTTCATCCTCTCTAACACATTCTGATGTTGGGGTCCTGATGTTGGGAAAGATGGAGGGCACAAGGAGAAGGGGACAACAGAGGACAAGATGGTTGGACAGTGTTCTCGAAGCTATCAGCATGAGTCTGACCAAACTGCAGGAGGCAGTGGAAGACAGGAGTGCTTGGCGTGCTCTGGTCCATGGGGTCACGAAGAGTCGAACACGACTAAACGACTAAACAACAACAACAACACCACATTCTGCTATTTTCTTACACCTTACATATGGCATATAACTTTTTATATAGACTAGAAAGGGTTTCCAGTCTTCTTTAAAATATTAGAAATTTGAGTCTTTTATCAGTGCCATCAATTTTGCCATCTCTGCATATTCCAAGATTTTCACCAAACCATTCTTAGTGCAGGGCAGTTTTTTTTGTTGTTGTTTTTTGACACCCAGTGTGAGGGCCAGGTTTCGATTAGGACCCTGGGGGAGGGGTAAAAGGACTTTAACTCTTTGTTGTTCTTGTTTTTATTATTGCTGTAGCAGTAATGCTCACCCCGCCTAGTGATCTACGTTCAGAATCTTGGGATAGAAGGAAGGGGGAAATATTTTAAAAAACACAGATACAAGGCAAATCTTGAGACTCCTATTGTCTTGCCTGAAGGGCTAGAAACTTGAAGGAAGGAGAAACAGGAGTAGTAGAAAGGCGGACTGAAAGGAAGTATGGCAAGAAAGAAGGGAAGAGAAAGGAAAGAAGAGTCCATGTTAAGCTATTAAACTTGCCCCCAAAGGAGGCAGTGGTGGCCACCAAACTAGATGGCTTTTAAAAAGGATTGGACAGATTCATGGAGGTTAAGGCTATTGATGGCTACTAGCCATCATGGCTATGACTCTGTCTCCATAGTTAGAGGTAGCAATTATTCGCTGAATGTCGTTTGCTGGAAACCACAAGAGGTGCTCAAAACTTGCTTGTGGGCTCCCCACAGACATCTGATTAGCTACTGTGAGAACACAACGCAGGACTAGATGGGCCATTGGTCAGATCCGGCAGGCTCTACTTATGTTCTAAGGAAAGGAGAAAAGAAAGGAAGATGAGATCCACATGATGTCAAATTGGTTGTCATATACCAAATCATATGCACTTACAATATTTGTTTCATTAAAACATTTGTTCCAGGAACTATAGTCAACGTGCTTAGTGATAATGGTAACATACACCATAATAACAAAGATAAAACCATTTAAAACAACTACTAAACATTACAAGAGAGGAGAAAAAAGCAATAAAAGAGCTGCAGCAAAACTAGATCAGGACAAACTATTAAGTGGATTTAGCCAAAATCGGAAGAGGACAGGAAGGTTTTTGCTTTGAACAGTAATGTCAACGTAGGCTTGCCATACATCAGGAAGATTCCTGACATGTCCTGATTTTTGGGTGTCGGGGAATTTTGACGAAGTAGTAAAATGTAAGGGCAAACCCGGTTGTATGGCAACATGATGAAAAAAGCAGCAGAAACAGCTCCAAAAGCTTAAAATCACTATTATAAAATATATTATAAAATCACTATATTATTATTATTATTATTATTATTATTATTATTATTATTATTATTATTAAATCACTATTTTGGGGGGAGGTTGTGACGTTACCATATATGAGAGAGTGCTGGAGGGGAAATAGTTAAATAGGTTGCACAGACAGGACCCAGGGGGGTGGAGTCAGTGGGTCTATAAAGGAGTTCTGGGAGGAGTTCTGGGAGTTAGTCCTTTGGGAGTTGTGGGTGGGTAGTTGGTTGGATTGCATGGGTTGGCTGGTTTGGAAAGGCAGTTGGTAATAGAGAGACAGTTAAGGCAGTTGGTCCTTGAGTGTGGGGAGGTAGAAGAGATAGAGAGAGGAAAATAAGACTAAGAAAGTAAAGAGCAACAACATTTGGAATGCTGTAAAAGTTTTGTTTGTGTCTGAAATAAAATACACTCTTCTTTATTAATTGAAAAGCTGACTGAGACTGAAGTGATTTTACCAGGCAGGACCTGGTTGGTGGCAGCGGATTAGTGGTGTACGGGTCAATAGTCCGTGAGACAACTGGGGGCTCCGTACGAACGCCACAGAAGTTTCCCAACAATTTTGGTGGGTTTCCTAAAAAAACTCAGAGCTCACCTTCACTACCACCATTCTGTGGGTTCAAGCTGGTTTGTGGGAAATGCTTCAGGGAACAAGGCTGTGTGCATGGGGAGCGCATAGTCATCTCTACCTTCTCGGCTTCTAGGGAAGGTTGAGCAACTGAAAATCACCAGGCTTCCTCCGCTCCCCCTTCCTCTCCTCCTTCGTCTTCTTCAATTCCCTGGGAGCAGAATTGTATCTTTGGCAAGTCTTTGAAAAGTTGATTGCTAGGTGGTGCAACGGATGAGTAAGCTTGCCAACTGTTGCCAACCTGGACGCAACTTTCTCTTCTCTTCTGGTAATATTTCCCTCTGGTATCATTGTCAAGGAAAGGGCTGTGTGCTGGTTGTTGCTTCATGAATAATTGCCTTTCATCTTTTAATGGGAAGATTTCAAAACGGGGAAGATACAAATGATTTGCCACGGCTGCAAACCACCGCCCCCCCTGCAAAAAAAGGGGGGGAGACAACAACACATGGGTAAAGGAAGATAAAAGAGAAATGTCTCCATTCACGGCTTAACCTGCCAAAAGAGTATATCATGACCCCAGTTTTAATTACAAGGTACGATAATGAGTTTCATCCAGAAATAGCCGGTCTAATTAAATCTCTAACTGCAGTTTCCATTCAGCCTTGGTGTTACGACCTGAGGGGAAAGGAAAATACTTGAAAGGACTAGCATTGTAATACCAGCATCTACTTCTCAGACTTCTTAACCACAAACAAAGAGTGAGCGGAGCAACAACTTGAGGCTGCATGGGAGAATGGAGATCCTTTGCGGGTAAGTGTGTGTGTCGCCTCCGCTATTTGTTTATCTCTTCCTTTATTGTCTCTGCTGCCTTTCTACCCTTCCAGGCAGGGAGAAACTGAAGCCCCATTTTAATGCACATCTAATTCATACTTCTCAGGACAGTATGCAAGATATCCTTTGACATTCACACTTAGGAACATGGAAGCTGCCAACTGAGTCAGACCGTTGGTCCATTGAGCTCAGTATTGTCAGTGCTGATGGCAGCGATGCCTCTCCAGGACTTCAGACCAGGAGAATCTGAATTTTGTGATGCTCTTCTTCCACACAATAATGTGTGTGGAAATGTGTGTGTTAGGGAAAGTGTTTTGGGGGGGATGCATACATTAGTGAAAACAACAAAAATGCATTATATTCAGTGAAACGGCTTGCAGCAACTGGGTATGCTAGGAGAAATATACACTGAAATGCCAACATTTTTTTGGTGAGGATTTAAAACACACACACAAACCGATGAGGAAATATGGCAAGCTCAATTTAAGACCGGCCAATTTCAGTTTCTCATTTTTCCCCTCATTTGTCAATCCCAGGGTAGCCAAGGTGGTTCAAAATGCTGACAAATCAGCTAATAAATACAATATTAAAGCCATCTTCACAAGTAAAGTTTATTGACCCAAACAGCCCTTTGAGGGGGAAATAAACTGAAGTTTGGCATAGTGCATGAGCCTTAGCTTCCACCCTTCTCTTCCTCTACTGTCAGAGGAATTATGCCTCTGAAAACCAATTGCTGGAAATCACAGGCGGGCAGAGTATTTTCTTATGCTCTTGTGTGGAATGCTGATCCTGCTTGGTTGCAAAGCGCTGAGAAACACAAGCTCATGAAAAACATTAAGTCTGTTTCAGCTATTGTGCCATCGGTAGCAGACACTCACCCACCTACAACGGGGCACACGGCATCGCAGTCTGCACATGACATTCAGGCGATCCTTCCTTCTTGAAGACATTGTACATCTTGAGTTTGAGCACATAAGGATCCATGTCTTTCCACCATGCCTGAGGAGGTTGGTGCAGTTTGTTCCCCATATATGCAGCCCTGTTCTGGGGCAGAACAATAGCTCAGTCAGTAGAGCATGAGGGTTAATCTCAGGGCCAGGGCTTCAAGCCCCAGGTTGGGCAGAAGATTACAGGGGGTTGCACTAGATGACTCTACGATTCTATGAAACCCTCAATCTGCCCTGCTGAAGGGGGTTTGGAAGGAGCAGAGATTGCCTAGGTTCCTTCCCAGCTCTGATGTCTATGCCGGCAGGAGAGCTCTGCCTTTGGCAGAAACCCTGATGGTGAGGAGCATCACATGTGTGTTAAATGTTCGGAAAAAGTCAGAAGCCCAAGGCAGTATAAGTTCCTCAACTACGTTTATTTAACATTGTCAGTGACAACAGCTCACTCATAGGAAAACAAGAACCGAACTGACTGGACAACACAATAATAATGCCAAGCATGAACTGACCATTGACAGTTGACAGTTGAAAGTGCATGCGCTCACTTGCCATTAGAACGTTTGTCTACCAAGGCTTATACGATTGGTTAGAATGCGCCTTGTAACATAAAATATGTTAAACCCATTACATAACAGTGTGTGCCCAAATGGCAGTTGGAAGCTACAGGCAGTGACATCCTCATCACTGGGAGTGGCCAGTAGAAACCCCTGAAGAGGGCATTTCACAGGTGAGGGATATATTTCACAGGTGAGGCTGGAAGGTAGTGCAGCAAAAGGGAATTTCTTCCCTGGCTGTGGGTGTGCTGCCCCATACAGCCCCACGACTGCCGGCCAGCACTTAGGACTGAAGTCGTAAGCCCTTTTTGCAGAATACCTTGAATTCATCGGGGGAAGTGGGAGCATATGTCTAATTCCATTTCCCCCTGCGTTCAGCTGGCTGTCTGCATAGAATCTAGGTACACATACCGCAGTGCCCTTAGAGTAATTGTTTAGAGGACATGCAAAGCCCTTCTTATCCTTTTGGGATTTAGCCTGACTCCTCTTTGGCAGAGAGACAGAAGAACTGACAGGGCTTCTAAGTTGGCCCGGTTAAATAAATACAAACTAGATCTTGATGTTGCATGGATAGACGTAAGGACATAAGAAGAGCCCTGCTGGATTAAACCAAAACCCCATCTAGTCCAGCATCCTGGTTCTCAGTGGCCAACCACATGCCTATCTCATGTCAATCTCACACTCAGGTCTTAAGGGCAACAGCACTTTCTCCACTTGCGATTGCCAGTAACTGGTATTCAGGGCATATTGTCCCCAACACTGTGGGTGGTACATAGCCATCATGGCTGGTAGCCATTGTAAGCCTTATTGTCTATTCCCCTTTTAAAGTCACCCACTACTACATCTTGTGGCAGTGGTGACAGCTTAACTATGCACCTGTCAGGACTTCAGCCTACACTCGAGTAGGACTCTGGCAGAGACACATGCCTGGCTGGCATGTTCCCTCCCTCCTGGTTGATCGTTCGGGAGCTTCATAAGCTTTCTTCAGCCTGAACATCACAGCGACCGATGCCAACCGACACCGGCACACTTAGGGATCCGCAAAGTTTGCGCAACTTGCGTGACAGACCTCAGCAACTCCGCATTTTGGCTAATGTACTTTATTTACATATAAACACACACAGAACACTGCAACATGGCTCCCTCTCTCTGTAGCAACAGACAGCAAAGAGAAAAAGAACAAAGGACAATCCCACTTCATGGAACACAGTAACACAAACATCCTGTCTTTGTCACTTCCCACTCTGTGGAGTCAAAACATACACCGACATGGGATAGACAAAAATCCCATGACTGCAATCATGGAGCAGGAATTCTAACAGCACCAAGTGATATCATTTGTCTGTGATCAATCTTCCAAGATTTAGCTTCATTAGATGGCCCCACGTCTAATATTATGAGGGACAGAGAAAAACTTGCATAATTCTGCACATCTCTATCATGTTCCTCCCCCTACCTTTTCTCTAAACTAAAAAGTCCCAGTTGTTGCAAATTTTCCTCATAGGGGGGCGTTCCTCCAGCTTCCCGGTTGCCCTTTTCTATATATTTTTTCCAGCTCTACAATATGCCTTTTGAGGTGCAATGACCCGAACTGTACACGAAATGAAATGACACGTGTTTGAATGTATGAATTATTTGCAACAAAAATTAGTGTGGTTTGGGTATTGTGAGAAACTCAGTCCGTGGCATCCTATCAGGAACAACTGTTTTATAACATTCCAGATAATTCCGTCACATGGATCTGCTGTGTGATGGCATTGTGCCAAGAAAAGCCATTTTAAAGGAGCCCGTGGCAGCCATTTTGTCTGCACCGACACCAAGCTGAAATCCCTTTTCTCTCCCTGCTCCCGCTCCCCTCAAAACCTCTCTCAGCCCAAACTTGGCTCATGCCTGAAAAATATCTCTTCATTTGTCATGAGTTGTTTGACATCATTTAACATTCACCCCTTCACTCAAGATGCTAATAGGGACCATCCTGTGTCTGTGTGCAATCAAACCTTCGGGTTACTATAGGTTTTTTTCTGAAATAAAGAATTATCTCCCCCACAAATAAGTTTTATGGTGCTTAATTTCTAGTTTCTGTAACCACTGGCTTTCTTCAGAAATAAGGTGAGAAGAATCTTCTAGACCCCACTGTATGTCACAAGAAATGTGTTAAATACTCAGCCTTGTGTATTGACCTAAGGTAAATACTCAGTAGCCTGTATAAACAGCCAGCAGTTAAGTCTGGGCTAAATAAAGTCCAAAAACGATGTTTAAACAGTGAGAAAGCAAACATCTAATACAGGTTTTTTCATGTTGTAACCTGTTGTTGTTATTCCTTCCCAGAAGAATCCCTTAAATCATTTCTCAAAGTTCCAACCTTTGGGCGGCAGCCAATTTTCCAAATGAATGAGGTGTTGGGGGATGTCTCAAATGGAAAAGCAAGCTGGAAATTTGAGGGGTTTTTCCTTGTTTGCTTGCTTTAATTATGCAGCATTTCCACACAAAGTGGGATCCTGAACATTTGATTTCCAAAAGATCCTGCCACTTCAACTACAGTTTCCTTTCTTAGCAAAGAGCTAATCTGTCTAGAAGAGGAAAAACAATTCCAGAAGGAAGAGTTGTACGTTTTCGTAGAACAGAGTCCACTTCATCAAAAGTATGATGTGTGTACGAAGGTGTGTGTAGGCATGTGTAGAGAAAGATATATTGAAAGTCATGCCAAAGGCCAAGAAATGCAAGAAGTATAAATGATATTGAAGTGCCCATCTGAACACACAATAGTTAAGAGTTAGAATGGGACAAGGAGTGCACATGCCAGCCCCAAAGCCTCTTTCAACACTTGGCCAAGGCAAGTGTTTGCAGCAGCTCACGAATGGAGGATGGAGTCCTTTAACAGTGGAAGCACCTTCCTGGAAATTCAATTGTAAGTTTGAAATTGAATTCTTGAGTCTACTTCACAATTCTCCTGCCTAAAGCATCCAGAGCTGTGTCAGACATGCAAAAAATAGATTTCCCAAGATATGCCACGGAGATGTATTTCATGTGATTCCCATTAAGTCTGTTAAGCCCTGTGGCTACACATTTCACCCAGTACGTACAAGTTCATCTTTATCTTCTGACAAGGGTCAACACACAGAATTGTAAGATCAAGCAGTTATTAAGAAAACATGAGTGTAAATTCCACCTTTGTCCCTCATGTCTCTCTGAGGTGACCCGTTTAAATATGCTTAACATGTTTTTATTGCAAATAATTTTCAGTTGAGCGGAGGTGGGAAATTTCTGTTAACTATATTTCAGGTTTCTAAATTGATTTTGAACCATTTGATTGGCAGATGTGTATACTAGATATCATACAAATATTAAAAAAAATATGGCCTCTGTTAACTATTGCAGATTTTTTATTTTAAAAAAAATCTTTTTTTTCACCTTTCAGCCAGCAAATGAAATCAGTTCCTGGTATTGTTTCATTAGCTATGAAACGCAAAGTTTTTCTCATAATGCAGCAACATTATGATTGAGCTGGAGTAGTGGCTTAAAACATGAAGAGGTCATTTCTAGGTTCAAACCTCACCTCTCCCATAACATCATTGAGGTTCTTAGGCAAGTCATTTTCCCGTCATCTTTTATGATAATACTGGTCTATCCTACAGGGCTGTAGTAAGTATTACTGATACAATGCCACAAAGTACTTTTGGCTACTACATCAATGGCACTCAAGAGTGAATAGCAGCCAATTCAAACATATATTCATATTGATGGAGGAGGCAAGGTTTGAAGAGGATGCCAGTAATTCCACCACATCCTTACCTAGCAGCTTTGTGTTGTTCCAAATCTTGGCCATGATTCAGCAGGGAAGAGTGATGCATCTTTAACTTGTAACGAGTTCGACAGGATTTAAGTGTTGACTAGAGTTCAGTGGTGTGTTTTTTTTTCAAAATTGCTTTTGTTAAAGATTTTCTTGGGCTTCTTGTTTCTATTTTCAGCTCATAAAGTCCCTTCTACAAATCAATGATATTCGATGTGAGACTTTAATGTTGTATACAGCCTTTACCAAAAGTGTCATGGACTTTGAAGATGCTCAGACTCAGGACGCAAGGGAGAAACGTGCTAAGAGGAAGGCACGTTTGGCAAACCCTCATCGTGATTCAACTCCCGCCCAGAAACCTATGTCCCCCACTGTGGAAGGATGTGTGGATCCAGAATTGGCTTCCACAGACACTTAACGGAACACACAAAGTTATGAAAGACTTCCCTTCTCCCCTGCATACAAGCACAGGCAAGACTTCATGAAATGTGTTTGATTTCTCAGAATTTTAATTCTGGTGCGTCTGAAGCAAAACAGTAAGATAGAAACCTGGAAAAATCAAGCTGACAAACCTTCTTTGAAATCAATTATTGCAAGAACAGACCAGGGGGGTTTTGTTTGCTGTATTGAATAAATCTGTTAGACACACAAAATGGATTAATTCAAGTGAAAGTTCTAATCTGTCTAGTAAAATAAAAATATTTACATATCAAGTCTCTTTTTTGTGTGGAGAATGTTTCTAATTTGCATAGGTAATCCTTTGAGCTTGTATGCAGATTATACCAAACATATGTGTCATATTCATGTCAGATGATTTAGATTATAAATTAGAGAGAGAGAGCATCTCCACAGATTTCCAGTTCCATTTTTAAGCTCATTTGCAAGTATCAATAAAGAGAGCCCATCTCAGCTCCAATTCTGGATTGCCCTGCCTTCTCTCTCTCACACACATGCACCTTTTAAAACAAAATAGTAATAGCAATATACTTAAGAAAAAGAGTAATACACTTAAAAGATCCACATGTTTCTACCATTCTAATGGGAACACCCTTAAAACATGGACATTTCATTTAGATTGTTTGAGACCGATCAATAAGTGGTCATCATTTGGTAGCAGTATATGAGAAACCCACAGGACCATTTATAGACATTAACATTGTTTTTCACAGACAGCTACTCAACTATACAGCTTGTTAAATCTCTGAAGTAACAGGAACCCAGCATTAAAGGTCCTTATGGAATAATTACCCGGAACATAGGTGCTTAACAAAGATTAAAAAATAATAATGGGAGAATCGTTTGCATGTCTTAACTTTAATGGCTCGTTATGTACTTTATGAAAACGAAAGCTGAGGTGCTCATAATAAAATATTTTATTTTTTTAAACAAACAAGCAAGCAACCTTACTTGTATATCTCACCTTTCCTGAAAGGTGGCATATATAGTCCTTTCCTCTTTATCCAAACTGTAATCATTGCTGCATCAACTGCGGTGTGATGCAGCTCAGATAAGGTCCTCTCAAGAGGATCCAGCAACTTTGGATCCAGCAGATCCAATGGCTGCATTTGTTCTACCCTTGCTCTGCCTCTGTAACACCTCATTTCAAGGTTCTATGTTTGCTGTCACCAGCAGGACAGCTTCCACTATTACCTTGTCTAAGCAAGCTACCTTCCCTAAAAGCCTTTTCTGGTGTTAAAATCCAGAGGGGATCCTCATGATAGTTCCATCATCCTCAGAAGTTCCAGGGATGGCAGCCCAGAAGAAGGCATTGGGGGAATTCCCGCCCTACAGAGGAGCATCTGTTGAAAATGCACCCCTTTAACCTGGCCGTCGACATCTGAACTATAGTAGGACCTATCCTCTTGGGAAGGAAATCATTCTGAAGGAAATCAGCCCTGAGTGCTCACTGGAAGGACAGATCCTGAAGCTGAGGCTCCAATACTTTGGCCACCTCATGAGAAGAGAAGACTCCCTGGAAAAGACCCTGATGTTGGGAAAGATGGAGGGCACAAGGAGAAGGGGACGACAGAGGATGAGATGGTTGGATAGTGTTCTCGAAGCTACCAGCATGAATTTGACCAAACTGCGGGAGGCAGTGGAAGACAGGAGTGCCTGGCGTGCTCTGGTCCATGGGGTCACGAAGAGTCGGACACGACTAAACAACAACAATCCTCTTGTGACTGTAATTTGTTTTAAACTATTCAGTAATGCACTGAAATTGCCATTACCATTATCATACAATGATGGCAAGAAGGTAGATGAAGTTGTTCCAAACAACAGCAACAACTTAAAAAGCTTTTCTGCCTCCTATCCTGCAACATTACATTGCTGAAAAGGAACGATTGAGAGAAAACCAGGCGTGGATTTTTGTGTGAGCTTGCCTCTGGTACTGATCACAAATTCCTAGACTGAGCATGTGCACAGAGGCATCTAGGTCCTTCATTTTTAGCATCAGTCTGCCTGGGAGAGCCACTATTTGCTCCTAACTCTGGGTTCTAACAAAGCAGATCCTGCAAGTCTCAAGTCTGTCCATCCCTGGTCTAAACTACACCTAGATGAAAGGGAGAGCCATCTTTTGGGAAAGGCAATTCATACAAACGTCCTATCTTACTCAGAAAATTTCATCCTTTTCTTTCCTTACTGTGTGTGTATGTACACATATGCGTAATTCAGTTGCTAAAGGCCTGAATTGTCAGGATCGATCAGGTCTCAGGAACCAACAGATGGTTTGAGTTTATATATAAAAAAGTTACCTTGATAGAAATAATGAGCTGTTTTCATGAAGATTTGAGTCCATTTCATGTGAAAAAGGGAAAAAAAGTATCTTTTTATATTGCTTCCATACAGCAGCTTGATCCCAGAATTTCTCACAAGGGTTAGGAGCAGGGAGGGAAAGGGGGACAACCATTGGTTTTTTGTTCCAACAGCTGCCATTAATAATCCCAACATTAATAATCCTTTTAGAAGGTGCCCAGAGAGTATTATGATTGCTGCTATATGAATGCCTAACACTGCAGTCTTAAACATTTTGCTCACAAACTAGGGCACTTAGGTCCACTGGGGGCCAAACTGGAAGTAACAGGATGGTTCTCAGCTGGGATTGTGTGGGTGGGGAATTGAGGAGAGGGTTTGCAGGAAGGTAAGCAGTGGATGGAGCACTCCTCAACTCGCACACCCCATATTTGATTAAAAGCAGACAGCAATTGCTCCCTTTGTATATCATCAGGACAGAGCTGGATTTAAATACAACTGTCTAAAGTTTGGGCATGAAGTTGTATTGAAATAAATGGGTATCCCTGAATCAGTATCCCTGATTCATTATTGGACTGTGAGAAAAAAAAATTGACAAAATTTATGTCTAGGTGTTTTTAATAGACAGCTGCCAGTATCAAGGTGCCTTAATTTACACTAATTTACACTATCAGGTTCTGCCGTGTGAAATTCTGGTTGCCACATCTCAGAAAGAATATTACAGAACTGCAAGAGGTGCAGAAAAGAAAGCAAACTCCTTCAAATGTTCAATGGATGTGTGAGGTGTTAATAGAAGATGACTGTTATTCATACCAATAAGGCTGATTTCCAAAAGCTTAAGAAACTACTGGGTGAGATCTCATGGTCAGAAATACTCAAAGAGAAGTGAGTCCAAGATGGATGGGAGTTTCTTAAAGGTGAAATATTGAAGGCACAAATCCGACGAGAAAGAAAAGTGGGAGGCATCTAAAGAAACTGGTGCGGCTGCATAAAGGGATTACAGGTGAGCTGAGATTGAATAAGGGCATGTGTAAGAAATGGAAAGGGGAAATCACAAAGGAAGAATAGCCAGCATTTCAGGGAGAAGGTCAGGCAAGTCAAAGCTCAAAATGAGCTCAGGCTAGCAAAAGAGGTTAAGAATAATTTTTAAAAGGTTTCTTCAGGTATGTTAGATGCAAGAGGAAGAACAAGCAAGCAGGAGGTCCTCTGTGTGGAGAAGATGGAGAAATGCTGTTGGGTGACAGAGAGAAGACGGAACTGCTCAACAGCTACTTTGCCTCTGTCTTCACCTAAAAGGAACCGAGGGGATGCTCATCAAATTTGCAGATGGCACCAAACTGGGAGGGGTAGCTAATGCCTCAGAAGACAAAATCATGATTCAGCATGACCTTAACATACTGGAGAACTGGGCAAAACTAACAAAACGAATTCCAATAGGGACAAATGTAAGGCAGGAAGAACCAGCTGCACAAATATAGGATGTGGGACACCTGGCTTGCCAGGAGTACATGTGAAAAGGATCTAGGGGTCTTAGTGGACCACAAGCTTAACATGAATCAGCAGTGTGATGCTTCAGCTGCCTTTGCAGCTTGGAGGCCAGATCTGCCTCCTCCTCAGCATCCCTCCCGATGCTGCCTCTACAGCAGCCTCTTGGAGAATAGGAGGTGCTGCTGGCCTCCCTCCACCCTTGTTGCAAATGTAGATCTTTATTCCCCTCCTGTTTCAGATGTAGATCTTCACTCACAGATTCTTCCATGGCAGGGTGGGGGTGCCATTTTGTAGTTCACCTCTGTTGCCAAAATGTCTTGGGCCTGTTCGATAATGTCTCTTGCTGAATTGGTTCCTTTTGGATGGCTAGGTAAGAGTCTCAACTCCAGGTCCACCTACTTTTTGCTCTGCTTCCTCTCCTCCACCACCAATGGTATGTGGCCTCCAGAAGGTTGTCCATGGGAGAAAGCTGAAAAAGATCCCTCCTCCCTAGTCTACAGATCCTTTTAAAGGCACTGCATGGCCCACAGGCTGAGTATTCATTTGAAGTTTCCTTTCCTCCACCCCTGTGTCAAAGCCTTGTTGTTTTTCCCCACTTGGAAAAAGGCTAGCTATACATTATATTATTGGATTCACTTGAGAAACACAACACCCCTCCAGCAGATGGAATCCTCTTTACATGTTTCATCAACTACTAAAAACATCAAGTACAAAGCAAAAAGTCTGTAGCTGAGGCAGTAAGTATTGCTTTGTTTCTTTTCTGGCTGGGGCGATGGGTCGATTGCTTCGACCTTCAGCCTTGCGCTTAGCTAAGCAATTGCGCTGGCTGGGAGTGTGGGGAAAAGAGGAAGAAAGGATTTATTGGTCTATAACCTTCCCTTTAATAATGAACTCAGATTGTGAGTGCCGACGGAAATGTAATCAAAACGGCGTAGGGAGGAAACACAAGGAAGGTATCAGCATGCTTGGGGGTGATGTTTGCAGAAATACAAAAGCTGGAAGAGAGCTGAAGGACCATCTAGTCTAGTCCCTGCTGTTTGCAGGAAACCCAGAACTACCACATCCCTGGTAGCCTCAGCTCAAAAACCCCTAATGAAGAACGTTTTTTTATTCTGAAAACTTATATCCCACTCCGAATCCTAAGACCCCAACAGTTAATATATAAAACAATACACATCAAAACAAAATAGAATATCAGCATTACAAGGAAACAGACAGTTTGCTGGAAGATGCATGGCGGGATATAAAATTTAAAAATAAACAATTTCAGTACCCATTTTTCTATGTACTGTCAATGGTGTGTCAAAACTACAAAACTGTGTGCCAAAAGCTCTAAGCAGCAGAATGCATTGATGCAGAAAATAAATTAAATTAGCTAAGTCCTCAAAGCTGGTAGAAAGTGAGATTCCATTAAACCCAGCCAACATGGGAGCTGGGATGGGGGGATGAGTCTATACCCAGTCCATGTCAGTTCATACA